GTCTCAACTTAATAAGACTACACTCTAAACTAATTGTTCATTAATAGAAAATTATATCATGTAGAGCGAGTTTATTCAAGAAAAACCATAGCGACCAATAGCTATGCTTAGGAAATAGCATCCACTCTTTTAATGTATCTCATCTATGCTTAGGGTCAAGGATGTACCTCAAAGCATTTGAAAGAGTTGAAGGTTGACATGGTATCTCATGTATAAAAGAGTGACCATGGCTATCTACGTTTTCTTTGATAGATTGAGGTTGACTCAAAACTGGAAAGTAAAACTCTCTCTACATCTATACAAACCAAAGGGGACAAGATAAGTCCAACATATGTACGGAAAAAAAGGATTGGACCCATGATGACTTTGCTCATCCCATAAGTGAAGATAAGTTGATAGCCCAAAGTAGAAAGGCTTTAATTGGCTTTTTCAATTTTGAGCCAAAGACGTATTTGTAAATCCATAATAGGTAGAAGTCAATTTCTTCATTACGAGATATTTCTACCCTTTCTCCATAGTGATTGACTTGGTGTCTATAAGTTTTGGAAAACCATTCTCTTAGATTTTAAGGTCTATACCATTCGTCTTAAAAGCTAAACTCTAGCCGATTGGATATAAATAAGTGATGACCATAACATTAAGTAAAGTCATTGACATGTGCCCTTTTAGGAATTGAAATTGATTGATGTAGGGGTTCCGGAAGGTGACCAATATAGTCACCGAGCCGGGATTTACAATATGAGTGGGTCGATAGAAGGATGGCCTCATGAATTCCCATTGCATCATATTTTTTTTTACCTAATTGAGAGATAAGTCTCTTCTTAACCCGATCTCCATATTGATGGATTAGGCATCCTATGGAAGTGTAGAATAAAATAAAAAATTTATCCATCTAAGGCTTCTAAGATTAAGTCATTGAATCAACTAATCATACATATATGAATTAAAAACATGAGTAGAAGATTACCTCTTGAAACGTAGATTCAACATTTGTAGAAGGAGTCGTGCAAATGTTCAACCTCTATTAATAATCCACGCAACTTAAACACTCACAAAAGAAGCCATAAAAATCATAGAGTGCTAGCTTTACTCCTTCGTATTTTTGATTTACTTTCTAAAGAAATCAATTAGGATTTTTGTCTCAACTAAGGCTTTTAATAAGGGATACAACCACTCAAGTTTTCGAGGAGAGAAACACTTTCTCTCTCTTTTCTTTTCTTTTACCTGTGTGTGTGTGTGTTTTTTTTTTCTTAGCCCCCTTTTGCCACCTCTCTCCCTTTATTTATATAAGGAGGCGGCATCCTTGTCCTCCGAGGACAAAGAGTTGCAACATATATAAGCTTATTTAATCTTATTCTTGTAAACCTTCGACCTTATCTAATAGTGTTCAAGTTTATTCTCCCATCAAAATATCTTGCAAGCTTTTAAATTAAGTCTATTGGCTCAAATTCTTTTGGCCCAATTAATTACTAATTTATTTGGGCCATCCAAATAAATTAGGTCAAGTATTTTAGTGAAGCCTATATTAGGAAATAATTTTCTATATTACCTATAAACCTAAAATAGGAAACAAATTTTCTTTTTAGGTAACTCGACTTCCAAAGTAGGAAATCTATTTCTAAAATAGAAAACTTTCTATTTTTTGAAACTTTTATCAAAATAAGAAACTTTCCAAAACAAAAAACTTTTTTCAAAATAGGAAACATTCAAAACTAGAAACTTTTTTTCAAAATATTTGCTTCTCATTTATTATGTGAATGCTTAAACTTATATATGTGACTTAACAAGTTCCTAGATATGTTGACAATATATCAAGAATAAAAGACACCTATTTTTATCTCTTAATAAATAAATCAAGATTGGCCTTTCACAAGGTATCATAACTACTTAATTCTCTAGAATGATTAATTAATCTATAATTACCTTTCACGAGCATGATTACCAAATAATTCATTCCTTGTATTAATTTATCACGAGTATGATCTCGAACTTGGTTTATAGTCTTTTCGATTATGATCACATAAGTTTTCTTCGTTTTTCAAATGTTTTAGCTCTAGAGCAAACCAATTATGCTCTATTAGTACACTCCCACTATGGCCATAGATTCCTTAAATAAATATTCATCAAAGTGTAATGTGATAATTTCTTTAGCATATAAGAAATTATATTTCCTATCTTAATTATCCATCTATCTCTATTAGATTCCTAGTGCACTCAACAAATCACCCACATGCGACTCTTGATTGAGCCCATCAAAACGAGTGTCAAAGTACATAAAGTCTCTAATGAGATAACCATGATGACTTCAAGTTAAAGGACTAATTGTACCTATCTTGTATGAGGTTCCTATAGACTAAACCAAATGGGTTCTTTGCATTGGTATCACCATACCAATAGATATGAGATCTCATACTTGCTATTCTATAGCATGAGCATAACACTCATACGTCTTACCGTATATAGTCAATGTCTATTCTTGACCATACTACGACATGGGACATTTAATGATATCATTTATGTGTATTAATGTTTTTCTTAAGTAAAACAATTCGTTTGGTCATATAACCAACTAAGTTTTGACGAAACATTAAAATTTAAATGACATGATGCATTTTGTTTTATAACCAACTATTTTCGACAAAACAAGTAAAACTTAAATGAAATGATATGTTTAGTCTTATAATCAATAAATTCGATGAGACAACATATCTAAAGAAAACAAATGGGCATTTACCAATAACTGTTCACGCCTAGCTTTAAATCCAAGGTAGCTATCGACCGAGAGCTATTTAAAAAGGGGAACTAACAAAATCAAAACCAATCAATAGAAAAGACTATTTGAACCCAAATTTATTGAAGTTTTCTAATTTATCCCGTAACATTTAATTTTTCCATTCCTACAAGTAATCCGATAGCTTTCATTACTTTCGGTAGTTTCATTATTGTAACTTAGAAAGTATTGATCGGTTATTGATCGTGGACAAATGGTGTCGAGTGTTTCGATGACTAATGATGTAAATGTCATATTTTCCGATTTATGATATTTACATTTTTTTCAACGTGTTTTGTTTCTTGTTTGGATGGATGAAATACTCTTCATCTCCTAAATGTTATTTCTTTCGATTAATAGCATTCTTTTAATTTAACTTTTTCTTTAAATTGAGTACTCATGGAAAGTCTGAATGATTTGCTAAGCGAAATAGAATCTCATGTTATTTTATCATAAACTTTTTTTACCATAAATTAAAATGTCGATATACTCTACTTTAATATCGAATTCGACGAGCAGCAAGAATAAACTATCTCTGCAAAATTTGATCGAAGGAAAAAGAAAAGAAAATGATTGTTCTGAAGTTTCCACTGACTTGATATTGACCATAATTTGCATTGTGCAAGAAATGCTGCTAGGCATGGACCCTTCTATGTTCTCGGGTCCCCATCTTGAAAGCAAAAATACACGGCACGTGAGTGAGCCCAAAATTGCACAGAACTGAATTTCACTGTTGAGCACAACTTCGTTTTCGCTTCCAGGATCATAAGAAGTTTTGCGCTTTCCCAACGCTTCAAAGTCTAATCGAGTGCTCCTTAAGTTGGTTTTTTTTTTTTTTTTTTTTTTTTTCACATCCAAAGTTTTGTGAGGACCTAGCAAAAGGAAAAAAATCTAAAGGCCTGTTAGATTAAAAAAAAGAAAAAAGTACATGGATCAAGGGTCTCGTTTTATTAATGTTCTGAGCCAATAACTGCGTCCCCCAATACAGCCTTTTTTCCCTGTCTTTTTGCAATTATGTACTTCGTCATAGATCATTATTATATAGCTTTCAGGATTCTTTAGACTTTTTCTTTTCTGTCCGGGGAGTGGATTTGCGCCCCAAAGTCTTTGACAATTTCATTGAATTTTATTTATAAATTAATATCCACCTATATTGTGCCAGAATTATTCAACCAGTATTAGAATGGCAAAGTACCATTCAAGTGCCCTTAATTTTCATTTATTTATTTTTTTTAAGTTTAACGCAGATCATCTCCCTAAGTTCACCTCTATGGTCCAAAAAACAGTTCAACGATCCCCACCGAAACTTGAACAAAACAGAAGCATGATACCATTCATTTACAGCTAGAGTTAAAAATTTCTGGAAATAATAAATGCAATTTTCTCAGTCTGCATGGCATGAAAGATTCCATGGGTAAAATTTAATTTTGATCCTAGATGTGAAAACTATAACGACAAGTCCCTGTGCATGAACAAACTGTAGAAGCAGTAGCTAACAATAGTACCTTGCTGTTTGTACAGTTGTTCAAGTAGCTGGCAAAGAAAAACTGCCAAAAATTTATTGCCTACGTTAGTGGTGAGGCAGGATTCTACAATAAACAGTTGAAACATCTACCTCTACCAAGCTGAAATGATCAATAGAATTTTGTCCAAAACAATGATAAAACTAGACCAAATCTCAAATGGCTAAGGCCTAAGGGGGTAATCACCATGAAAGCATCCTAGGCTTATAAACATAAGCTAGCAATGTGTCTCCAGTACCACCAAACGTATGTCGATACGTGACAATCGGAATATTAGCTTGATTGGAAAACATCTCTCTTTGGCATTGCATCAGAACTTACAACTTACAAATTACGAAATAATTAAACTTGAAGACCAATTAAAAAGATTAAAGAATACAGACTCAGCATTAAACCCTGGCAAATCACATAATACAGGGATAGCTATGAATATTACACAAACATTTCCTCTCCTTATCCTCCAACTCGAAGCAGCATACTGACTCACCGGGGTTTTAATAGTATTATATATCACTTAACAAGCAAATAGCTAGAAGAGAATTGATTTCCAAATATAACCATAAATTTTAACCCAAAAAAAAGTGTAATAACACTAGTGATGGAACTGATCAAACCAAGATAGATGATGAACAGTACAAATTAAACAAACAAGATCATAATAGAATGTACTGTGTATTTTAGCAGCAACAGCCTCAAGCTCTTCTACTTTAGCCTCTCACAGCTAACAATGAAGGAATGGCAGACAAGTTTGGAGTGTTCTTATTGATGTCTCTTTTTCCATCTTTTGAAGAAGGTTTGCTGCCAAAAGCTCTCATTGGGCTAGCAAAAGCCCAACCCCAGCTCCTGTTCCTTCCATGAGCAAGAGGTCCAGCTCCTGATGATTTCCCATTCATGTCTTCAGCTGATGATGAAACCCAATAAGATGAGGAGGAGGAAGATGAAGAGGAGGTTACGATAAACCCACCAAAGATACCTCCACACCTGACCCTCTCTTTCATGTGAGAAGTCCCAGCATTGACCTTTGGCTTGCCTTCCCTTTGGGACTCCACTCTCCTTAGAGTGCAATCACCAAACCCAGTTGAGATTCTCTCAAAGAAGTCACCAGAGAAGCTCCTGCTTCCACACCCAACAGATCTAGATCTCGACACCTTTCTCTCAAAAGAGGAAGCAGAGGCAGTTGCTTGGCTGTTAGGACTATCATCGTCATCCTCCACTACCACAATATTGTCACCTTTCTTTGACAAAGAGGACCCCAAGAACTTCTCTTTTGGCCTCACCATGGACCCATTTGTTGTTGCTGCTGTTGTAGTTACAGCCAAAGAAGACATTTTTTCTGTTTTTTTAGTCGAAGTACTAGGCTTGGAGGAAGAGAGATAAAGAAATGACCAAAACCCTCTTCTTCTTTGGCTAAATCCCTCACCATCATCAGCGGCCGCATTCAAGAAATGGCTTCTCCTAGGAGTTGTAGTAGATTTGCTTCTATTTAAAACAATATCACGATCTGATGATGATGATGATGATGCCATGATTTTCTTCTTCTTCTTGGCCAAAAGAAAAGAGATCCTAGCTCTCTTTGTGTAATATTCTTGATAATTACTATTATTTCCACCACCATTTTTACATTTTGTTGTTGTGGGACGCGCAGCAAGTGAAAGCGAAGTACCTGCACCACCATTGCTAGAGCCACCAACACCAATATCAGATCTAAAAGAAGGAGAAGAAGAAGAAGAGGAAGAGCCCCGTATAGGTAAAGGAAAAGAAGAAGAAACAAGCTTGCCAAGCTTTTCTTGAAGACAAAAGGCACAGATCCCACCTAGGTTGTTTCTGTAAGGATGGTTACTACATTGCATACCATCACTCATATCTTCTTCACCTACACCAACTCTACCTCCTCCAACACCAACTGCTCCTTTGATATCCATCATCATCTCTGATAATCTTATAGTACTAATGAAAGGTTGTCACAGCAAAAATATTTATGATTCGTGGACAGAGTATAAATCTTTTTCTTGTTGTTTTGGTCTTTCTTAATATCTTGCAAGGGCTTCTTCACTAGTTTTTGGTGTTTTTGAGAGAGATGGAAAGAAGATGCAAACAAAAGGGAAGGGAACATGCGGTCAGAGGGTGTAAATTCAGTGAAAAAAAAAAAAAAAAAAAACCTATGTGCATTCAAGAGTTTAGAGTGGGAGACTGAGGACGGGAGAGTCCCCAGGCGCACGTGGAATACTGACTTGCCTGCATATTTTAAATAAGTGTTCAGCAAGACAATCAAAACCCTAATAAAATATATAGCTCATCTATCTTGCCCGCTTCCAAACACAAAACAACCTATAAAAACCTGTCCTGTCCTTCCGATACTGATCATAGGCCTCTTAGTTTGCCGTTATTGGCTTATTGCTTTCCATTTCTTATATGCAACAGTAATTTTTTTCGAGGGTTTAGAATTTAGAAGAAGAAAGGTGATCTGCGCTAGATTCCGTTCCCTTCTATTGTGTCCAGATTTTTATTAATTAGGACAGTGACTTGCGTGTGGGGATTTATAGCACTGGGACATCTTTTTGCCCATTATGTGATCACTTAATAAAATTACCTTCATACATGATCATAAGATGAACAAGTTCCAAAATAATAACTGTGAGGGACTAGTGTCAGTGCTAGGCAATGTTAGCGTGATTTCATCATATGCACTAAAAAAAAAACAGGATTTCATGACATTTCAAAGTCTAGAAGAGACTTTAGGATTCAATTAAAAAATAACTTGGTCTTGATAAGTAAAACTTAACAAAACTGAAAAAAATAATTATCATATGCCCGTTGATACTAATTTTTTTGTTTGGAAATTTGGATTATGGTAAAATGGGCTACTAGAATTCTGTATATTTGGGCCAGATAAGAAAAGCTTTTTTAATGTTTTGCTATTACAGTGCGCAGTGTGCTATCAAAATATGGCACACTCCTACTACCTTCGTTAAATCCAGGACCCCACTGATACTCGTGTTGACTCGACTCTTACGCTCTATGGATCCATTCCTTGCCGAAGAAAAGAAATTCTATTTTTGAGGACACCACGTCTTGCCATTCTGTAAATGCCACGTGAACCAAATGAACACCAAAATTCGTACTTTATGTTGCTGATGGTAATATTTTCATACTAACTTTCCAATAGTAAAACAAAATTTGTTTTCGATCGAATCTTACAACGATGTTTTATACAAAAAGAAAAAAAAATGATTGTTTTGGGTCAATGATATCATGTGAGTGGAAATTGAAAACTTATCGGATCTGAATAACAAGGTTATTTCTAATCAATTTATAATAATTATAGTTAACTTCCTTCTTAATAAGGTTTTAATCAAATTATGAAATTATCCACACCAAACTATTGCATTCATATTAAATTATTTTATTTATGATCTTTTTTAAAAAAAATCAAACCTTAGACGGTACTAGGACAAATAAATCCACTTGATAACTAGTCCAACCCTCCAAAAAATGGAAAAGTAAAAACTAATTCACGATGTCCCTATGTTAGGGAAAAAAAATTCTTTCGGTCTCTCCCATGTCGCTCGTGGTAGAGAGTACCTTTTTCAAGTTATGCCATTGTATTTTAGGTATAAGTTCATATTTCTTACCGTAGTTAATATTTATTATGGCATGTGCTTAATGGCACGAGTCCCGTGGTATTACTATGGCAATATAAGATAAATTTATCTTATAAGAGCATCTCTAATGGTGCTTTCTACTTTTAGATAGTATTTTTAATGTAAATAGGAAACATCATTAATTATATAGATTGAAGATCAATATCCTCTTTAATGCTACTCTCTACTTAATTCTTTATTTTGACAAAATCTATAAAACCTAGAGAGACTATTGATAAAGAGATTGAGTAACATAGGAAATAGTAATTTTCATTAATGAAATATAAGATAAAGAGTCATTTGGACTCTCTAGTATTGAAAAGCCAAAGACACTCTCTATATCAATTTTAAAGATAAAGATTGTGATAAAGAGAGTATTGGAGATGAAATTTGGATCAAACTTCTTTATTATAAAGAAAAATATTAATATAAAGAGAGCATTAGAGATGCTCTAACATAAATGATAAGAATAGTAAAATTGAAGAGAAAGACGATAGAAAAATAAATTTATTATAAAATAAAGTGAATACAAGAGATAACAATTCTAAATAATCTCTCAATTTCTATAAAATACTTGTGCATAAACTAATGAACAATCAAACCTATTTATGATTCAAGATTAAAAAGAGAATTTGAAAAAAATTATGAACCATTAAAAATGCATAAATAATTGAATAAATTGCATCACCCTTTTAATTTCTCATATTAAACGATGAATTGAATCATATTAATAGTGGAGAATATGAAATGGATAGTCATTATTTCATAACAATTGGCATATTTATGTTAAAAATTTGCCAACATGTAAATTAACATATAAATTATTGTGTTAGTAAATATGTTGAAATGACACATCGATTTATTGACTACTAAATTATCATGCCTACTAATATATGCCTAAAAATATCTATTGACATATCTCATGCCATCACTCGTAGCTCGAGTTGTACAAGTGTTATAATCATGTTCATAGCTTTTTATATACTTTAAAAATATTAGTATTTCAACTTTGAATAAAAAATATATATATTGCAAGGTAAAGATATTTCTTGTGATACTATCGATTAAAAATCCAATGTTTACCGAGAAATTCTAGTATAAAATATCCTCATAAGATGATAATGAATTTAGTTGATAGATATGAAGCTATTGGAATATAGTAATAAATTAGCGAATGAGTAACAACTCGTTATCAATTTTTTGATATTTTGAGTTAATACCAATGGAATACCGACTGATTAGCAACGGAAAATCACCAATGAAATACTATCATTGTTGAATTATATGGTAAATTTTTTATGGTTAAGTCAACAATGAAATACCAAATTGTGAGAGATTTTAGTGATGAATCATGTTGTCCATCACTAATTTTGAGTAGGGGATAGGGAGATGATTTAACGACATCAATAATGGATTTAGTGATAGAATTGAGTTTGTCACTAAAATCAACCATAGAACATTCTGTTGCAAATTATAAGAAAAAATATAACACCCCCAACCTAGGACCTAAATAAACTAAGAATATTACCGTCGTTGATCTATATTTGCGGTGTAATAAATGCAAACCAACAAGGTACTATGTCTTTCCTATGGTAATACCGAATAAAAGTTATCGTTGCGAAAGCCTACTAAATAATCAATAAGTCTTAAATTTCAGCCTAAAAAGCACTCCTAAATTTTTTTCTATTTTTCTATTTTATTATTGATTGGATTTGTGTATGTTGGTTTTGTCAAATTCTTTTTCTATAAGATTTTATAAATTTATTAAATTCAATTAGTCGGTACCAATTATTTGATGGTTTAATCATTCATTACTACTCGTTCTATATTATTTTCATGGGCACTTAATTGTTCGTTTTATCATCAATGTTGACATGCAAATAATTAATTAAAAGAAACTACTACTACACATCACTATATTATTACATCATTATCAACATGTCAAAAATTTGGTTGATGTAAAACCTATCCATATTTTACATCATAAGCGAGTTTGGTACCATACCACTATAAAAGTGGTTTATTTATTTACAAACTATTTTCTCACTACTAGCTAATCATCTATTTGTTTATTAATTTTATTATCTTATAGAATAGAGTATCGTTACCCGAGTATGTATGCAAGAATACCAAGCACTAACGGAACAATAGTATGGAGTAGGTCCAATTTACAATCGCGAATAAGATTCATATAGCGAACCGACGAAAATGATCCTTCGGTAATCAACTCAAACGAGAACACTGCTATTAGTCTTTACCTTTAGTTCCTACATCGTCAAAACTTGATGAGCAATTGCTCGGTAAGTTAATCATGTATGCTATGTATGAATGCAAGTGAAATGCTCATGAAAAATCAATTTTTATATTCATTCTAAAATTCTTATTCCATGCTATGAAATGTTTTTCCCATGATCATTCTAAAAATCTTTTTTGTGCTAGAACGTGCCTTGTCAAGTATCCGAAGGTACACATTTGTATCCATTCAGCCATCTACTAAGAGTCTAAATGTACATGTATGCACATGCTCGATGCCAAACATCTAGAAATACATGTTTGTACACTGGTCGAACTTGTCGAGTATCTAAAAGTACATGTTTGTCCCCACTCGATCCATAAAAACTATGAAATCCATAAACCATGAAACTTCTTCCATTTCCCTTTGAAAAACCACGAATGAATTCTTTTCATGACTTTAAATTTGTCCATGATTTTGCATGCACATGTATTTAAATGTAAATACATAATCTTTATAAATACATGTAATGCATGTCATGTGTGGTATGCATTTGTACCATGACATTGTATACTCAATATTAATAAATGAACAACAAAATATATTACCTTGCCATTCATGAATTCAAAGTACCCAATACAAATAGTGAACCATTAATATGGTGCATCACAAAATATCACATTTCATAACATCAATCAATTCATTATGCATTACACCACGCATCCATTCAAATCACAACTTTCATAAACATAAACAATAATGCCACAATCATTTAATTGCATACTTTGAACATATGCATTACATTTAACTCATCATGAAACCACAAATTTCAACAAAAACAATAATTTCCTCATTTAGGTCGAATTTTCACCTAAGTTAAACTAGGTAAATTTTTTCAATTTTAATGCAATTTTTCATACTAAATCATCTAATTACACTATAATAACACATAATAAATCAATCAAATATTAAAAAAAAAAAAACAAAAGCACTAAAAACCCTAATTTGCACTATTTGGGTCAAAACTTTTACCATGAAGTAAGCTAAAGAATTG